CGTCTCTGGCTGGCCGGCTCATTCGGGCTGCGGACCGGCGGCCGTTCCCCCATCCCTGTCCCTGTGGGGCCCCAAATTCACCGCTTCCCACTTTCCGTTTCACTTTCGTTGAAAATGAAATGAGTGATTTTAAAATCAATTGGCGACCGTTTTCGCTGTTGCCCTGTATCCAAACCGCACCCCCATCCACCCTCCATTGGGTCAAATTTCAGGGTTTGGCGAGAAGGAGTGGCGAGGGGGTGTCCGAAACCGACCAGGAGACCCCAGGACCGAGCAGGGGGAGTGGGTGGGAGAAAAGATTCTGGCTTGTAGGCGCGCTGGTTTTCCCACCGTTCAAAGCAGTTTGATGTCACCAGTTGGGGCTACGTGGCTCTCGTTTTGAGGGATCCCTCACCCCAATCCTTCAGGATAGGGGAAGCATGCGGTCCGAAGGACCCTGAGCCCGAGTCTCTGGGAGGAGCTCAGAGGCTTGGTACCGAAGTAATTAGTGGAAACAGGGCGGGCGAGTAACCTGGATTCCCCGCGCGCTTTGATTGTGTGGGCCAAAGATGCACCTGTGCGTCCTCGCCGGATAACGAGCCCGTCGCTATGCCCAGCTTCTCAGAAGGGCTCAGTGTCCCCAAATGTTTTAGAGCATGAATGTCTTGGCACACCCACCCGGGCGAGCCCGGAGAACCGAGCCTCTGCCCTCGGCGGTCGAGTTGCTCCGTGCACGCCCCAGCGAATGCTCGCGTCCTCCTCTCCCAAGTCGCCGGCGCTCAACTCTCTCGGTTTCAGGCCCTCAACTCTCTCGGTTTCAGGCCGGGCGAGGCCGGCATTAACGCTCCAACCCCGGCATTATCCGGACCACCTAGGGGCTGTATTTGTTGGGGCAAAAGGTTGAGCCAGGTGTGCGGGGCGCACAGCGGTGGGACAGTGTGCTAAGGCCGCGGGGCGCGGGGAGGGGACGGGGGTTCCGCGTCTAGGTTCCGCGCGGGGACAGTCCCGCCGAGTCGCGTAGCTGCCCGAGAGTCAGTCTGCGGTTCATCCCGGGCCTTGGTCTGCGCGTCCCCGCGGTTCCCCAAGCTCACCTCGCTAATCCACTCCCTCCCGGTCTCTGGCTCGCTCGCCTTCCACCCCTGGGGTTTTTGCGGCTGCCTCCTCTCTGTTTTTTTCTTTGCATTTCCTGGACGCCCGCCCGCTCTCTGTCTTACTCGACCTATCTCTCAGATCTCAGATCTCTGCTGTGGACTCGTCGTCTCTGGGTCTCGTTTCCGCTTTCTCCGACTTGGACAGCTCCGCGCTGTTCTCCTCTCCGCCTTTCACGCTGCGTCTCTGCCCACCTCGCACTGTCTCTGTCTCCCTGCGTGTCCGTGTCTCTGCGTTTATCTCTAAATCCAGGGCCCACGGGGAATCGTTCACTGTCACTGTCCCTGTCCCCGCCGTTCGTATTTCTCTGTGACTTTGAAGCCTGCCGTCTTTCGCTGCCTGGTTCTCACTGTCTCTGAGTCTCTCCCGTCTCTGTGTCTCTCACAGGCTGGGTCTCTCGTCCTTTCCACATCTCTCACTGTCGTCCTTCCACTCCCTGGAGGGTCTCTGTGTACCTGCGATCTCCGCAGCAATACCCGGGTCTCTGCGCCCCTGCCTTGCCCCGCGCGTCTACGGCCTTCGCGGGCGGGGACCCTCCCGGATCCCGATCCCGGACCCGATCCCGGACCCCGCAGGCTCTCCCCGCCTCGCGGTCTCTCACGCTCCCGTCTCCCCTTTCCTTCCCCCCCGCAGACTACCAAGGCGACTACTACGCGCCGGGGGGCAACTACGACTTCTTCGCGCACGGCCCGCCGTCGCAGGCGCAGTCCCCGGCCGACTCGAGCTTCCTGGCTGCCTGGGGGGCCGGCCCCGCCCCGCCCGCGCCG